ACTTTTTATCCATAATGTGAATTCACCATCCCTTCTGGTCCCATGGGAGTGGTCAAATGATGCCTTAGGAGTTTGATGGGATAAGAACAGGTGAGAGACCCATTCCAGGAACAAGTTATCCCATCCATCCATCCATCCATCCATCCATGCTGGATCTTCTCCCATCCCCAAAGCAACAGGAGAGGACTGAATGGGTATTTTTGTGGGAAGGCTCAGGGCTCATCCCCTCACTTTGAGCAAACCTGAGGAAAACCACAGGTGGGACATCTTTGTGCATGAAGCTGGGAGTTAACCCATTTCCATGGGAAGAAAAGGAAGTTGTGGRTCTCCTGTGGGAGGGATCCACCCTTTGGAAGGGAAGGAGCAGCTCCCAGGGCACCTGCAGCAAGGAATGGTTCTCCACTGAGCACTTGCATGGTGTCACCATGGGGTTGCTGCACACTCTTCCTTCTTGGTCCCCAAAAATAATAAGGATGGGAAAAATTCTGAAGGGATTTGAAGGCAAGTTCTGTGGGARATGAAACCTGTTAAAACAATTTTCCTTTATTTCTGTGCTACAYCTGTGTAACTTTGGATTCTTCCCTCCCTTCAGATGGTTTGAAGGCTTTAACTGGGAAGGGCTACGGAAAGGGACACTGACACCTCCCATAATCCCAAGTGTAAGTTTTATTTTTTTTTTTTATTGTTATTTTCTCCTCCATGGCCAGTTCCTCAGGGATGCTGTGAGCTTTGGGCAGTTGGGATTAAATGGGAATGAAGTGCCTTATTTCTTCTGGAGATGCTYGAAGAAGTCACTTGGAGCACATTCCCAGCTAAATTTGATCTCCAGGCAGGCTYTTCCCTGGGAAGGCAGTTTGGGGAGGGCACAGCCATGGAGAAATCCCCTTGACAGCAGGAGATGGATCACTCACTCCTCCCCATTTTCCTCTCTCTCACCTGCTCCACTCTTTTCTTCATYTCCTTTTCCCCTTTCAGTGGAGAGCTGCCACTTCCACCCTTTCTGTGGCACTTCTACCCCTTCTGTGGCACTTCCACCATTTCTGTGCCACTTCCACCCCTTCTCTCCACTGTGTCCTCTTCCCTTCTCCTTTGTCCTCATTTCCTTTGGGAAGGTGAGTGGGATTTGGATGCCATCTCCCTTTCTTTCTCATTACCCTTCCCCTCTATGTTGCCCTTTGTGCCCCTGTTTTCCCTGCATCCATGAAAAAGCCCTGTTTTTTCACCAGGAGTGGGCGCTGAGGGACAGCTCCGCTCATTTTCCTTTGGAGCAAAGCCCTTCCTTTGATGTTTTTGTGAGCTCTCTGCCCTCAAAGCCTGGCTGCAGAGGGAAACCAAACAGGATTAGTGRACAGAAATTGCTTCGGCCCCTTCTGTCCTGCAGCCTCCCCTCCTTGTTCCCATCTAATCCCTGGGGATCACCGGGAGAATGCCATTAATGGGTGTTTAATTGCACCCTGTCGCTCTGCTCCGTCCCTCAGGGAAAGCTTTCCCATCCCCCTTTTTCCCTGTGGGATGCAGGAGTCAGTGGGAGAAAGAGGACTTGGCAAATATCTCCCTGAACAACTCAGAAATGTTTCAGAGATCAAAGATGGCTTTGGTCGGGTTTTTTTTTTTCTGTTAAGTTCATTCCAAAATCTTGGGATGGTTTAGGTTGGAAGGGACCTTCAAGCTCATCCATTCCACCCCCTGCCATGGGCAGGGACACCTTCCACTRTCCCAGGCTGCTCCAAGCCCCATCCAACCTGGCCTTGGCTTCTTTTTAATCCCTTTAAATTCATCAGCAGGWCCACATTTCAAGTCAAGGCAATAAAGTCAGGTTTGTTCCTTCACATCCAGTTATAATTCCTGTTTTAGGAATGCAGGATGTCCATGTAGTGTAAAAAAACACCCAGGATGTTTTCTTAACTAATTTTGGTGGATTTTTAGTTTCATAGGAGCACTTCCAACACTGCTCTTACTCTGCACAACAAGGCTGACTGGTGCAGATGGGAGAATCTTTCCCTTTTAGAGGAATCTTCTTCCAGGACAGCTCCAGGCTGGCCCYAATCCCAGTTCAACCCAGCTCATCCTTTCCCTGAGCCCTTAGAAGTGGCATCTCCTCCAAACCTGCTCCTGAGATCCTCTCCAAAGCCCTGGAYTGTGAATTTTGTCAGCCCCAGAGCTGTCAGTCCTGCTCCACCTCATTCTCCATGAGCTTTTTTGGCAAAGTTTCTTTTTTTGCCACTCTGAAAACACAACTCTGGAGGCTGACATCCATTTTTCCTTCAATCCACCTCTCCTTGTTAGCTGGGAAGCAGCCAGCAGGGCCAAACAGACAAAGAAAAAAGCCTTTTCCCAGCTCTTCAACTCATTTCTTACATGGCACTACCAGTGAGGCAATCAAAGAGCTCTTATTCCAGGGGATTTTTTGAAAGTTCCCAATTTACAACCTGCTGCTAGGACACTGCTGAGCCTTGATACCACAGCTGGAATCTGAGATTTTACCTCTCCTTAAAAGCTCAGGACTCTTCCAAAGATGAGGTGAGGAAACAAAGGGTGAGGCAGCACCCACAAAATAAACAGATCCAGATAATCCGAAAGAAATTCAAGGTCCTAAGATTTTATAGGGTGGGTTTATTTTTTCCAAAATGAGTTTGGTATTCCATAATCCTGATTTCCTCCAAGATTTGTTCAGCAGTGGGGGCAGCACATTAAATTCAGAGCTGGAGTTGGAGCTGCTGTCTTTTCCAAAGGCTTGCAGCAGCATGCAGGCATCAAAGGGGAATCTCAGGAAGGTTAACAAGGCCARGTGGGTCAGGGCAATCCCTGGGATCAATCCAAGCTCGATACTGGAAACAAATCTTCCCTATGAGGGTGGGCAGGCCCTGGCACAGGGTGCCCAGAGAAGCTGTGGCTGCCCCTGGATCCCTGGCAGTGCCCAAGGCCAGGCTGGACATTGGGGCTGGGAGCAGCCTGGGACAGTGGGAGGTGTCCCTGCCATGGCAGGGGTGGCACTGGATGGGATTTAAGGTCCCTTCCATCCCAAACCAGTCTGGAATTCCGGGATTCAATGGCTGTCAGTTGTCCCCTGGTTCAGGCTCTTCCCCAAATGAAATGACTGAAAACTGCAGCAAGAGTTTTCCTGCTCTGASTAAGGCTTTTAGTATGGAATTTCTCATTATTTTGGGCTGGAGACCTGCTGGTTTCCTCTTGTATTGGGTTGGGTTTTTTTATTGTGTTGTCTTTTTCAAGTCCTCACAGTAAGAAACTTCCCCTCACAGTCACAAAGCAGAAAAATCCAAAATTCTGGAGCTAGGATAGATTTTACATGTCATTCTTTCCAACAAAGAAATGGGCTTGGTCTTCATCCTGGGAAGATGGGTTTCTCTGGAAGGATCCTGAGGCTGAGCAATGCTTGCCAGGRAATTTAAAGGTAGAAGGGCTCAGCTGAGGATTCTGGAGCCATGAATGGAGGGAGGCTTTCCCGAATCTTTCCTGATGACCTTGTGCCAGTGGGAGATTGGGGAGCTGTGGGAAAACCCTCAGCAAAAAGCCGTGGATGCAGCAGCTCCCTGGCTCGCTGGAGGTTCTCTGGGATGCCCACAGCTGTAGGATGAGGAGGGAATGTCAGCCCTGGGATGAACATCCCAAAATATCACAGAATGGTGGAATGATGGAATCATTTGGCTTGGAAGGAACCTTGAAGATCCTCTCACTCCAACCTCCTTGCCCTGGGCTGCCCTATTTCATCTCAGCTGCCAAGAGCGGCCAGTGGAAAGTTCAAGCCTTGCAGAAAGGGACTTTTCCCACATATTACATGGAAAAGGTCTGTTTGAGCAGTAAAAAAATCCTTCCCTGATGCTTCCCTCCTGTGGCTCTCCTTCCCGCAGGTCGCATCCCCGACGGACACAAGCAACTTTGACAGCTTCCCCGAGGACAGCGAGGAGCCGCCCCCTGACGACAACTCAGGCTGGGATGTGGATTTTTAATGTTATCTCTCTCACCTGCTTCTGCCTTGCTGAAGACAGCTTTTCCTGGGACGTGGCTGCCAGCGGAACGGGAAGACCGGAATCAGGGAGGGTTCATGCTCGGGGTCACCGTGATGCCTTGATTGATGCTGCTCCAGTAACTCCAGTGGCATTAGGACTTCCTGCTCAGTGACAATAGTGGTCTCCACGTTTTCTGTTGGAACGTGACCCAGCGGGGACATGGTGGTCCTGGCACTGAGCCTCTCGCCGGCACAGAACTCCTTTTGTGTCACCAGAGATCTTCTCCCACTCCTGGTCATCAGAGTGGGAGGTGCAGAGTGTAAGAGGCACTTAATTCCAGCCGCTCTTCCCGTAGGATCAGTAGTAATTGATGAAGTGCTGCAGCTACTCCACTGCAGGATTTGGGCTATTCCCACCCTCCGAGCTCCRTGGGGCAGCGAGGGGCACGGGCAGAGCGCTCCTGTCAGAGCAGTGGGGAATGGGTCCTTGTCCTTTCCTAGCAGAATTCCCAGTGAGACTGAATGTTCCCTTTCCTCTTTGTTTTGGAAGCGTTTTGGTTCAGCCTGGCCAAACAAAAGCACAACTGCTCCAGATGCCTCCAGTCGAGGCAGGTTTGGGTCACTCCTCTCACCTGGCAGCATCACCCTTGGGCTCTTGGTTCTCCTTTTCCTCCATACCAATACATGCATGGAAACAGAAAAATCATGGAATGAATCCATTTCACATCCATTAATCCATTTCACATCTCTTAATCCATTTCAGTCTTTAATCCCAGAACAACGGGCCAGCAGCCCACTGGTCTTGATGGATTAGGCCTGAAAATAAGGATAACTTTTTAGACCCAAAGGGAAAAACATGAAACCGGTGATGTCCTTTTGAGGTGCTGTGTCCATCCCTCACCAGGGAATAAAGCTGTCCCCAAACCATCCTGTCAGGAATATGTAGCAAAGGCTTTGTTCTCCATCTTGATGGTTCCATRTCTTCACGTCTGCACCTTTTCCGTGTTAGCGCGAGCATCTCTTTAAAATAAAAACYCTGGGCCAGTCTTCTGGCTCTGATGGAACATTGCCAGTAATCCTGATGCCTCTCCAGGCTAAGGAGCTCCATGGGAAAGTCAGTGGAATTCARTGGGAAAAGGATATTGGATGTATCCCTGCAAGGTGTCCAGTGTGCCTGGTCCACTGTGACTGTGTTTAACACAGTAAAAAATGTCTGGGAAAAACAATATTACCAGGATGAACTTTCCCCTGATGTCCACTGTATTTCCTTTGCTTGAATTCCGTCCTCTGGTTTATGGGATGCAGCAGAGGGATCCCATCCTGGGTGCCCATTTGTTGCATGTACACAGGACTAAAAGTTCATCCCATTATCCAACAGGAAACRTCAGCTTTTGGTCTCTCTGAGAGACCTTGTCCCAAAATATCACAGAATCGTGGAATGATGGAATCATTTGGGTTGGAAGGAACCTTAAAGATCCTCTCACTCCAACCTCCTTGCCCTGGGCTGCCCTATTTCATCTCAGCTGCCAAGAGCTGACAGTGGAAAGTTCAAGCCTTGCAGAAAGGGACTTTTCCCACATATTACATGGAAAAGGTCTGTTTGAGCAGTAAAAAAATCCTTCCCTGATGCTAAATCCCAACTCTTCTGCTTGTTCTTGATGAAAGGATTTAGTTAAAAGGGTATTTTGACAGCCTGGGTSACGTCTGCTCTTTGACATGAGCTGGGTCATGTGCCACCTTTGAAACCAGTCCGTGGCTCTGGGATTCCCTCCGTTTTCCAAAGGGTGAGGCCACACCTCTGGCACAGTCACTTCAGGTCACTTCTGCTGTTCTTTAACCATTGAAACTTCATTTGCCTTCAAAACCATGGGGAAAAGGCAGTAACTCCCAGCTTTTCCTCCCTTCTCTGAGGGATGGACAGCACTGAGAGCCAGGGCTGAGCACGAGGGCTACAACGCTCACCAGGCATCTTCAACAGCCCCAACAGCCAAACTCTTCCCTCACATCCCCCTGGATTTCCGCTCCATGGGGACAGCTTTCTGTAGGAGTTTGTCCCTGGGGGTGACACCAGACACACTTGGCAGGCACGGAGGAGAAAGCACCACAAGGATTTAGGGGACGACCTGGAAACGTGACAGGAAGGAGGGTCTGGAATGGGCTGAGGAGTCACTTTTCTTTTTTCCTGTCCCTTTTTTCCTTGTGCCAGGAGTGGGAATCGATACCTGCAGCGTGCACTGTGCTGAATCTGAGTTTATTTTGATATCAAACACCTCACTTGACTTCCACGGCCTCTCCTGAGCATTAACACTTGGCATATGTATATGATAAGCCTTCAGTTATAAGTAATAGATTTAAGTTGCTTTATATATATCTCTATATATCCACAGCAAGGGACTCCCTCTGTGTTTCCACCTCCTGTCCTTATTTCTTTGTCTCCTTCCTTAAGCTACAGGACGATGGCATTTTTAGGGAAGGGGGGAATCAGCTCCCACCTTTCCAGATGGGGCTTGGATTTGTATCGTAGCTTCTCCTGGAGCTGCACTGCCCACAGCAAACTCTTCTTCAACAACAGGACCACAAGCAGATATTGCTGTAAATAGGTATTTCTGTGTCGATATTTTGTGGGTCACACAGAACTTTCCGTTCTTTTCCAGTTCCATGGCATTATTCCTTTATTTCCTTATTTGTAATGTAATGTTTTTAGGTCAAGGTAGACTTGAATTAATGTCATATCTGTCAGTATGATAAAGCCTTCTGTCAGCTGTCCTGTTCACTCATCTGTCCCATAGTTCTAGAACGTCACTGGCTATCTGGCATTGTTGCAAGTGCCTTAAATCCATGGCATCTTATTGAAAAAAAAAAAACAAAAAAGACAAATTTGGTGTTATGCTGCATGACAAAGACAAACACACCTCAAATTGTTGTCCTTTCTTAGCTTGCTGCGTTTTACAGTTCTTTCTGCTACTGATTTCTAAGCCTTTATTATCTGATCTCGATGAATTCCAGAAATGATGACATCGTTCTCTGATTACTGTTCACTGTACCAGAGCTGTGTATCTGTTAATGAGATACAGAGTCATTTCTGTGAAATGTATAAATGTGATGTGCGGGTCAAATTAATCTCTGACATCCTAGCAGTCCGTAGACAGGTATTCCTGTTTTGCTAAGCTCTGCAGGTCCCACCCATCCATGCTGTCCCACACAGCCCCCCTTGGGAATCTCCCACCTGGGAAAAATCCACCCCAGCAGCATTTTCCTGACCTAAACCCCCCTGCAAAGACGAGGCTCATCTGCACCACTCACCAAAACAGGATCTGTGCTTTTCCCTCCTCCATTCCCTGCACCCGTGGGGATGAGCCCTGGGAGCTTCTCGTGGCTCCCCAGCCCCAACACTGAGACTTGGATKCTTTTAGGGCTCACTCAGAAAAAGGGGAAATTCCCGTTGGAGTTGCCTTTCCCCTCCGAGTCCCGTTTTACACTGGTTTTACCCCAGCCCTTTGTTTTCTGGTTTTACTCTGGTTTTCTCTCCTTCCACAGCAGAGGTTTTGTTTGTGGGGCAGATGTCCGCAACCCCCGGCCATCGGCCGCTTGCACTCTTTGGATGTYGACTGAGGAACTTGGGGTTTTTTTTCATAAAACTTCTACGGCTTTTGTTTCGCTCTGTACTCCCCCCGCAGCTGTAATTGCCGAGTGCCTGTTGTATACTTTATAGAGTTGAAATAAAAATAATTACTTTTGAACRGGTCTCTGTGAGTTCCTTCCAGAGCAGGAGCTGAGTTTGGGAGAGATCTTCTGTATAGTGGTGAAATCTGGGGTGATGGGGATTCTGCTCCCAGAGAAGCTGTGGCTGCCCCTGGATCCCTGGCAGTGCCCAAGGCCAGGCTGGACATTGGGGCTGGGAGCAGCCTGGGACAGTGGGAGGTGTCCCTGCCATGGGGGAATGGGATSAGCTTTAAGGTCCCTTCCGACCCAAACCGTTCATGATTCGATAGTGACACAGAGGTGAGCGAAAGCTAGGGAAAAGGAGCAACCAAGCATCCTCCCAGAAGGGAAATAAATTAGGTAACAGCGCAAGGAGGGGCTGGGAATCGTCACCGATCACTTTGTGGGAAGCAGCAATCGCAGGTCAAAGTTAATAAGGCAATAAAAACCCCAGGGTGACGTGGCCCTCACCTGAAACTGCCGGGGGAGCACCGGGATTTCGGGGCGAGGCGTGCCGCTTATTCCAGGCTAAAAATAGGGAAGGCGGGAGGGATGGTCGGGCCGTACCGGGGATGTCGCCCAGTCGTGACTCAGCCGCTTCTGACAGCACCTGCCCGCCGTGCTCCCGAAACCTTCCCAGGCAATTATTAGCTCGGCTTGAGCCATCCCGGGCTGGAATAGCCGATRGCGAGCACCGGGACAGCGGTACGGCGACGAGGGGAGCATTAATTGCAGCAATTTCGTGGTCCGGAATCCCCCACCCCCTCACCCCGGGGCTTTGGGGTGCGCTGGGGCGCTGCTCCGGCTCTTCGTATCCTCATCCAAACCAAGCTGAGCAAAGAAATAAACGGGAACACGGGAGACCACCGCCGGGAAAAGCCGGGTTAATCAACGGGGTTAATTGACGAGGGTTAATTAGGGGGCAGGGGCGGGGGAATGGGGAGCGATGGCGCGGCGCAGGCGCCAGGGGGCGATCGGGGGCCGCGCTGTCCCCGGGGGGGGGGGGGGGGGGGGGGCAATGGGATGGGACAGGAATGGGGGGCGACGCCTTTGATCTCCCCGCATCAAAGGGACTCGAGCTGCCCCCAGCGACACTGCTCCCCCGCCCCGCCTGGGGTCAGGGGACCAGGGGGAGGACCCCGAGAGTCCCGCCGTGTGTCCCCCCGTGTCCCGCACTCGGCCCGGCGAGCGGGGTGCGCAGCAGCCCCTCTCCCTTCCTGCGAGGCTGCGCTGGCGCCAGGAAGGACGCGGGGGAGGCGGCGGGGGAGAGACTTAGAGGAGACCAAAGGACCGACTCTGACATCGGGGGAGGAGGGGGGGGTCTCTCTGCACCCACCGCGGCTCCCACCCACTATGGGGGGTTGCAGAAGAGGGAGTTCCCCCCTCCCCTTCCTCTTCCCTCTTCTCGGTCCCCTCCGTCGGGCGCGCCCGGCTGGAGACAGCGGCGTCGGGAAGTGCGGAGCATCTGGCCGGGAACCGGGGCGGGAGATGCCGGGGGAGGATGCTGGGGGGGGCTGGGGGTCCTGCCCTCGCCCTTGCGAAACCCCCGCCCGACCAATGTGGGAGCCCTCGGGGCGGGGTGGGGGCGGTTTTGGGGGCTCTTGGGCACAGCCCCCCCGAGAACGCTTTGAAATCCCAGGCGGCGGGCCCCCCGCCCCGAGGGGGCGGGCAGGAGGCAGCCCGGGGGTATAAAGGCGGCGGAGGAGCGCAGGAGCCGCTGCTCGCGGCTCGGTGCCACTGCTCGGGGACACCGGGAGCACCAGGATGCGGGGGTTGGTGGCGCTGCTGGCGGCGCTGAGCTGCGCGGCCCCGGCGGGGCGGGCGGCGGCTCCCGGAGGTGTCCTCAGCTCCAACGCCATCAAGGGAGCCCCCCCCGGGGGGGCGGCCGAAGCCAGCGCCGCCCCCGCACCCCCCTTCGACGGCAGCAACAAGGCCCCGCCGGCCGCCACCCGGCAGGTAGGAGAGAGCAGAGATGGAGCGGGGGTGGAGCGGCGGGACACGGCAGGGATGGGCTGGGGGACACATCGGGATGGACTGGGGGATACCGGGATGGACTGGGGGACACACCGGGATGGACTGGAGGGGGACACACTAGGATGGGCTGGGGACACACCGGGATGGACTGGGGGGACACCGGGATGGACTGGGGGGACACCGGGATGGACTGGAGGGACACATCGGGATGGACTGGGGGACACACCGGGATGGACTGGGGGAACACCGGGATGGACTGGGGGACACACCGGGATGGACTGGAGGGACACATCGGGATGGACTGGGGGGACACCGGGATGGGCTGGGAACACACCGGGATGGACTGGGGAGACACACCGGGATGGACTGGGGGGACACACCGGGATGGAGAAGGGACACACAGGGATGGACTGGGGGAACACACCGGGATGGACTGGGGGGACACCGGGATGGACTTGGGGTGACACACTTGAGATGAGAGGTGGGACGCCGGGCATGAGGATACACGCACCCCGGAAATGGTGGTGGGGGGACACTGGCGATGGAGGGGACACCGGCGATGAAGGGAGGGACACACATCAGGAATGGATGGAGGGGACGTCCCGGGATTAGTGGGGAAGGGGCGCCGGGGGATGGAAGGGAGGAATACGCGCCAGGGTTGGAGGGGAAACGCAGACGGGGAGGGGAACGCACCGGGAATGGAGATGGAGGAGAGGCACGCGCCGGGCGATGGGGACACAGATGCACAGGGGATGGGGACACCTCGGGGATGGAGAGGACACCGCAGATGAGGGGGACGTCCCGGGGCTGCAGGCCGGGAGGGACACGCGGGAGATGGATGGAGCGGATGGGCCGGGGATTGGAGGGGAACACGGCGGGGACGGAGAGGCGGGGACACACTGGGAGCATCGGCCCTGTTGATCACCCCGGTTCCTGTGTGCCCCCCAGCCTTTCCCGTGCGCAGAGGACGAGGACTGCGGTCCCGAGGAGTTCTGCGGGGGAGCGGCCCGCGGCGGGGGAGCCCCGCTGTGYCTCGGCTGCCGGCGCCGCCGCAAGCGCTGCCTGCGCGATGCCATGTGCTGCCCGGGCATGACCTGCAGCAACGGTGAGGCCACGGGGACCCCGGGTGTGGGGCCGCGGCGGGCTGGGGGGTGTCGGGGTCCCACGCGTGGCTGACAGCCGCCCCATGCCCCGCGCAGGTCTCTGCACGCCCCCGGAGCCGCCCCACGGAGCCGCTGAGCCGGAGGAGATGGGCACTGAGGCGCTGCCCCGACGGACGCCCGCTCCCGCCTGGCTCCCCACGGTCAAAGGTGAGGAGTCGCTGCTGCTGTGTCCCCCCGGAGGCTGCCCCCGTGCCCTGCTGTCCCCCGGGATCAGTCCAAGATGCCCGACCCGCACCTCTGTCCCCCTTAGGATCAATCCAGCCTGTCCTCCCGTCTTGTCCCTCTGTCCCTCGTGGGATCATTCGGGATGCCCACCCTGTCTCAGTGCCCACTGTAGGATCAGTCCCGGGTGTCCGCCCTTCCCTGCTGTCCTGCATATAGGATCAGTCCAGGACGCCCTTTCTGCTCCACCATCTCSCACGGGGTCGGGCCGGGATGTCCCACCGACTCCATAAAATAAATCCAGGATGCCCAGCCTGCCCGTGGGTGTGCTTTGGGATGCCCACGGGGGTATTGATCAGCCCGGGCTGCCCTTTCTGCCCCATTATCCCCTGCGATCGTCCTCGGTGGGGTCACCCCGCTCTGAGCATCCCCCCGCTGTCCCCACGCAGGCGAGGAGGGCGATTTCTGCCTGCGCTCGTCCGACTGCGCTGCCGGGCTGTGCTGCGCCCGCCACTTCTGGTCCAAGATCTGCAAGCCCGTGCTGCGGGAGGGGCAGGTGTGTACCCGGCACCGGCGGAAAGGCACCCACGGCCTGGAGATCTTCCAGCGCTGCCACTGCGCCGAGGGGCTGTCGTGCCGGCCGCAGCGGGAGCACGGCCCCGCAGACCCGTCCCGCCTGCACACCTGCCAGCGGCACTGAGCCCGGCTCCACAGGCTCCGGCCCCGCCGGAGCGAAGGCTGTTTCTCAAGGGAACTACTTCGAAGCGACTTCTTGCAGTACGTTACTGTGTTGTGAATACTCGAGCTGGCACTTAGCTGTACATAAAGCCGGGACTTTTTAAATTACGACGAATGACTTTTTCGTGAYTTTTAATGAGTTGTTGTTTTGCGTTTGTCCGAGGGCGCTGCCTGACGCCCTTCAAGCCGTGACTGTGACTTTGTACACACTGGGTTTTTCRTTCTGGCTCGAAGGGGCGCCACCGCATGAACTCTTCTTTCAATCCACCCCGAGCTGCCCGTGCGGCTGCCGGGATCCCTCCTTTGCTGCGGGAGGGAGGATGGACCTGGCGGGGAAGGAGAGATGGGGACGGGGGGCTCATCCCCGTGGGAAAGGCGGGGGGTGGCACTCTTTATCCGGCCACTTTTTAGGAATTCCGTGGTAGCCGCTGATGCTCTCTGGCCATCAAACTGAGGATGGGCAGCGTGGCTGGGGCTCTGGGAAGGGCACCTGGCCGGAGAACACCCTCTCCGTGGTTTTTGGGAGGGAGGAGGGAGTGAGGGGTCACTGCGGGGGCTGTGCTGGACCAACCACGGGTGCTGCCGACCTCGACCACTCCATCTTTGCTCCATGCACAATAAAGATTCATTTTTTCCCTTCACTTTGCAGCTTGCTCCTGTGGTTTTTCACCCTTTTGGGATGGCTTGGAGGGAGGGAATGCTGCAAGCACACATTTTTCCCCACCCCTTTAGGTACCCCCCTRTCTCAGGTGGTTGTGAGTGGGGAGTAGGGAGTGTGGGGCTGCTGGGCTGCGGGTACAGTGCTGGCCCTGGTAGGCTGCCCTCAGCCTCCCTGCAGCCTGGGAAAGGGGTCTGGAGTCCTCCTGTACACCCCAAAAGGGCTTTGCACCCCAGCTCAAACCCAGCTTATCCCGGGGGGGCTCCGAGGGCACCATGTAGAGGAGCACCCCACAGCTCTTAAGCGCTGCCTGCTCTAGTGTGTTTGGGGCTTTTAGGCTTGTCGATGCCTCTTCAGGGCATTTCATTCCCTTGAAAGCATGGGATTGTGGAATACCAGCCCCACTGCAGCTCTGCCAGGAGCCTGGGAGTGCCAGGTGGTGCTGAACACACTCCACAGGCAGAGAARATGTGTAGGAGGGAGAATAGCCCCAGGGGAAGGARAAYGTTCAAGGGATCRCTCTCAGCTCCCTYCCAGCTCAGGGACTGCCTGAGAACRGCCAAAGCTGCCCCAAACCWGAGGATAAAACCACCAAAATGCACCCTTTAAGTCTCTCTGGAGCAGCTTTTACTGGAGGTGTAGCACGAGCTGGGGGTTGAAGCAGCCCCTGAAAGAGTTCCTGACTCAGAGGCTGAAATGCAGTGCTCAAATCATCACACAAGGCTGTGAAGATTAAAAATCCCGGSTTTAAAGTACTTTTAAAAGCCATGCTTTCTTTTCCAAAAGAGTATTTTATTATCCTAWTAATGTTATGCCCAGTAAGGGTCAATGGCACTGGGACAAATGAAGGTCCCTGGCTGAGAAAAGCATCAGGAGCTGTTTAGGTGGGTTCAGATCTGTCATGAACAGTGTCACATTTTATCTCCAGGACATTTAAAACATTGTCGTTAGGTTTGAGGCTTTTTGTCCAGAGAGTTAGAGAAACGGCTTTGACACCTCTGCAGGCAGGGGAAAATACACTTGTGGTGCATGTCATTTCTTGTCATCATTCTCCATCCTCTTTTGTACTGTTCAGATTGACCTGTCCTTGTTTTAATCAAAAATGCTTCTCATRCCTTGACATKCTTCACTTKCCCAGCCTGGAAAAGGAAAAGAGACCATTTTTAACAACCATTCTGAGGCAAGAGGAGCTCAGGTCAGCCCTGAGGGAAGTCTGAAGCACTGCTTGCATCTGTGTCCGRTGGTCCAGGGATGGATGCTACCACAGACATCTCCAGAATAATTAATTTCATGCACAGATTCCAAAAAAAAAGTTGTTCCATTGGGTTTCATTGCCTCCTCTCCATCATTACCACCTGACCTGCAGTCAGGATCTCTTCCTATTTCTGCTCCTTTTGGGCTTTCAGGGTTTGTTCTTTAGGTAAAGCACCAAGAAATTTGGTTTAGCAACATCCCTTCGGGAAAAAAGAAATGATGTCATGTCAGTTAAGGTTTGATAAAAGCTGCTCTCGAAGGGAGGGATTTTCAGGCTTCCCTTGGCTCTGCCCCAGAACCTGGACCCACCTTAGGTCTGCATCCTCCTGGGAAGGTAAAACACTCCTTTAGCAGCTCAGGAATGGCGATAAACAGCCTCTGAGCCCTGGAAATGGGGTCACAGAGAGGCAAAGGCTGCTCGTGTCACTTTTTCCCAGGGAAAGGCACTTGGGAGCTGGGTGGGAGCTGGGGGATTCCCTGAGGAATGAACAGGCGGCATCACCACGGTCCCTCATGGATCCTGCTCCACATCCACAGATTCTCTTTAGCAGAAACACCTAAATTCATTCTCTGCAAGCTCAAACCCAACCCAGGAACAACAACAAAAAAAGGCTGGTGGGAAATAGAAAATTTAAAACTTGGGGAAAACCGAAATGCGTGGAGTCAGGACGGAGTTGGTGTGTCCAGGTGTGGATCTCCTGTTCTGCCCCTCTCAGCTAAAAATACTAAAGCAGCATCCCGGATCACCAGCTCTAGGATTCCAGGGGCTGGATAAACCCCTGGAATGGTTTGAAGGGAAAATTAAATCATTCCACGGGCTTCCTGAGATGATTTYCCTGCGCTGTGGAYGCAGATTCCAAGGAGATGGATCATYACAAAGCCAYCYGGGRGACAGTATTGGCATAAAGGAMTTTATCTTCTGATGGGGGAGGATGGGACACAGCACACTTTTTGCTGCCATTTGGGGTTAAATGAGTTTTCAGGGAAGCAAATCCTAATTTTGTCTCATTTTTCTTCCTAAGTTCTTCCTAGAAACCACTGTCACCCCAGGCTGTTGCACAAAAAATACCCCTTTTATTTTTAAATAATTGTTTAAGGCAGATGCTCGCACTCTCCTCGCTTCCACTGATCTTCACGCCGCGCTTAAAACCGAACGTCCCTAAAAATGGTCTGGTGAGGAACAAAACCTCCCACGGCGCAAGAAAGGGTTGCAAAAMCCCTTAAATCCACCCACAGGCATTAAAAGGGAAAAATTCCTGGTTTTTGTTTTTTTTTTACTCTCACCTCTCCTGACAGAACAGAATCCGCCCCTTGCGGCTCGGGAAGATGAAAGAGAGGGAGCAGGTGAAATCCTCCGTGGCTGTAACTCAACACGCAAAACTCTGGGGCGGTTTTGGAGTTTGTCTCTCTGTTTATTTGGGGCGGCCTTTTTTGGGGGGGAGGGGAGTTCCCCCACCTGCTGGAGCCGCTCTTTGTCCCGAGCCTTTCCTTGATCTCGCTCGCGGTGGGAAGCGGAGCATCCAGGTGGTCCCGCTCCTCGCGGGATCCCCCGCATCCCTGCTAATCCAAAGSGATGTTTATTCCCTTTTTTCATCCCTCGCTCTCCAGTAGCTTTGTTTTCCCCTCCCTCAGTGCCTGGCTTGTGTCCCTAATTAACACCTTAAGAGAGGGTGAGGATAACGGGGATGCTTAAGGAGGGCACTTCTGGGTAGAGCTCCTAATCCCGCTCCCGCGGAGGGAGCGGACCCATTAGCAGGTGATTTTAGGCACAATTAAGACCATCAGCATTTAAATGGGAACGGCCTGATGAAACGCTCGGCTCGGCTGCAAGGGTGTGTTGAGCTCCGGCAGAGGTTTTTCTTTCCCCCAAATCCCAGGTGTGGATGAGGGAAGAGCAGCGGCTGTAGGGGAATCGATATTGTGGGGTGGGCAAAGAGTCCACGTGGGTTTTGGGTCCAGGAGGATTAAAGGATTGGTTAAAGGTTAAAGGATTTGGAAGTGAAAGGATTCCACGAGGAGTGGTCACAGCAAAGGGGTGAAGATGCTGTGAAACCTCAAAAGTTTCTTCCCTTTTTTTGGGCATAATTGGGAGCAAGACATGGGAACATAGGGTTGCTGCTTGTGGTGGAAGGACGGGATGAAAAATCCTACAAAGATGGGCGCTGGGGTTCAGGCTGGGCAGCTTTAATCACATTTTTCTTTGATTTTCCGTTTAGATGTTAAATGTGTAAGGGACACAAAGTCAGGATAAATAAATCTGGAGGGAAAAAAAATTCACAGAGTCATTAAGGTTGRAWAAAMCYYYWAAAAAMATCCAATCCAATCAAAATYCCGGTAGGCAACTTAGAAAATATTGTAACTCCAGAAGCACGGAACCGTGGAAAACACAGGGTGGGGAGGGGGGAGCATGTTCCCAGGAAAAGTTTGGCAGCTCCCAGGTGTCAGAGGGAGGGCAGGAAAGGTCTGGAATGCTGYAAACAACGCTCGGGACGTGACTGAGGGGTTGTTTTTATTCCTTCCAAGGCAAGGAAAAGCTAGAATGTCCAGCTTAGAACAAACCCAGCGCTCCTGAGGTTGGGCCACAAATCAAAATTCTGGCTGGAGTCACTCGAGGCCAGGAGAATTTGTAAGAAGAGGGAGACTGGGGTGTGGTTATTGGCCAGGAAATCTCCAAGTGCTGGTCATGGGCACTGGGCAGGATCATTCAGGAACTGTCTGGAGCAGGGGGAGGATTTATTTCATTATTAATTTMATTTTTCTTGGATATTGGCTCCTTAAGGCTTTGTTGGGAAGGAGATCCAGGGCTGCTGTCAGATCCACAGGGAAGTTTTGGTCCGTATTTATTTCTAATTTCTCACTAAACCCTCCTCAGAAACACATAATTGCTTCAGGATGCTGATTTTGAGAGGAATAAGGGATTTTTCCGGTGGGAAGTGTCCCTGCCCATGGCAGGGGGTGGAATAAAGTGATCTCTCAGGTCGGGTTGTCAAGCCTTGTCTTCAGGTGGATATGCTTTGATAAAAAAATTTAAATAAAACAATGAAATCCCTGATTATGTTGTGCCTGATTCAATATTTCTGGGGGTTTTGTAATTGGAATAAAAATACACCCATGTCACCATCAGTTAATAAAGATTTAGATGATTTTTAAGGTTTTTTTTTTTCTATCCCAAGTTATGGACTTTATATGGCCAAAGTRTTGAAGGACACATTCTAACATTGGTTTTCCTGCTATTTTTTTTATTTGCTTCTATTTTTTTATATTTATTTTTTTCATCAAATCAAAGTATTTCTCTAGAGCATTGATCTTATTTCAATTCTCTATTTTCCATTAATTTATTGGGGATGTAACTTTACAACCAGTCCTGGTGGCCCTTGA